TTGTCTCTGTTTCTCCTGAGTGCTGGGACGAAAGGCATATGCCACCATGCCTGGCCCCTGTTTAGACTACCTGAGTTCAGATACAGTGTTACCAGCTGCCTCAGGCTCCTGGTCCCATGACTTCTCCAACATGAACTACAAGCCAAATAAACCCTAGTCCCTTAACTTGCTTTTTTCAAAACAAGAAACTAACACTTTGGAAGAAAACACTTTAAAGGCACTTATTCAAGAGCCTGTATCTAGACTATGTAGGACCCTCTAAACAGAGTATCCAAGTGAGTCCTTGAGTGAAAGCACAAACACAAGAGGAATTTAATTAAAGGGTTGTGATAAATACAGCAGCCCATGAACACAACATCTCAAGCCTAAGAACATGCAATTGAAATCCACACAATATCTTATGGTCAGATTGGGCAAAAGTAAAAGCTGATACTGGCTTTGAAAACTGGGCCTTAGCTGGGCAGTGGTGGCGCATGCCTTTAATCCCAGCACTTGGGAGGCAGAGACAGGCAGATTTCTGAGTTCGAGGCCAGCCTGGTCTACAGAGAGAGTTCCGGGACAGGCCAGGGCTACACAGAGAAACCCTGTCTCGAAAAAAAAAAGAAAGAAAGAAAGAAAGGAAGAAAGGAAGGAAGGAAGGAAGAAGAAAACTGGGCCTTTTGTGAATCAGCATGAGTCAGCGGGAGGGACCAGGATCACCAGGATCGCCAGAAGTCTTGGCTATACCACTCTTGAAGATCAGCAAAGACACGAGACCAAAAAGTGCTCCTCTACCGCAAGCCCAGCCCAGTCTCTGTGACAGTCTGTTGGGTTCTTTTTATTCTCCCTCTAAATGTCACCAGTCTTGGCTCTGCTCATGCAACTGTCTCAGCTGACATCACTCTGCCAATCAGCCCGAGTCTGAGGAAGGGACAAGGAGCTCAGCACAACACCAGACGTTTTTTGATGAGTTTCTCTCTATGGAGTCCTGACAAATGGAGCTCAACTACGAAATGTAAGGCAGACCAATATATGTATGTCATTAGCAAAGAATCCTTCATCACCGGTCCTTTCACATGCTTGCTTTAGCAGAACATCCTTCCACCTGTGTCTGCTTCAGCAAAATGTTCCTTCATGTATTTGCCCCAGCAAAACATCATCCAACAGAACTGACTTTTTAAAGAATACTTGTTTCCACTTCACTGTCTCAAAACAAACAAACAATAATCAATCAAACAAACAAACAAAAAGAGACCAACATCAGTGAGGCAGAATCTTCTAGGAAGTGTTTCCTCCGGGTCAGCACAGAGAGGCTGTGGTCCAGAATCAGCCAAAGCTATACTTTCTGCTGGCAGCCAAATATGATATTGTAAAGCCGGGTGATGGTGGCACATGCCTTTAATTCCAGCACTCAGGAGGCAGAGGTAGGTGGATCTCTGAGTTCCAGGCCAGCCTGCTCTATAGAACGAGTTCTAGGACAGTTGTGGCTACACAGGGAAACTCTGTCTCAAAAAAAAAAAATAAGTAAAAGAAAAAGAAAGGAAGGAAGGAAGGAAGGAAGGAAGGAAAAGAAAGAAAGAAAGAGAAAGAAAAAGAAAGAAAGAAAGAAAGAAAGAAAGAAAGAAAGAAAGGAAGGAAGGAAGAAAGAAAATGAGGGCTACAGAGATGGCTCATCAGTGAAGAGCACTGAGTTCAATTCTCAGCTACCACAACCATCTATAATATGATCTGATACCCTCTTCTGGCATGCAAGTGTACATGCAGATAGAACACTTCTATACATAAAGTAAATATATAATAAATTATATTATTATATAAGTAAATAATTTTCTTTTATAAATAAATACAGTATTGAGGCCTAGGTAAAAATTACAGCATAGATGGAATGTTAAGGCCTAGGTAACTGTTACTTGGCTAGACTGTCATTTTGTTGTTACTAATATAAGGAAACTTTCTCATATGTTATTTCTGCTGTTACTAGAAACCTTTTTCACGCCCAAGTTGATTACATATTCTGTTATATTCTGTAATGGTAGAAACCAATCACAATAGAAGTCAGTAGAATTGCTTTGTATAACTACCCATAATAAACTTGGACCTGAACCAACCACCCAGCAGCACTTCCTGCACCTGTCTATAAGCTTTTATGGTATTTGCTTTTATAAGCTGCCCCTGGGATGGACTCCAACATTAGAGAGACACCTGTACCAATATAAGAAACTATTTGGAATAAGACTTCCATTTTGAGTAGTGGTAAAGTTTAAGTTCCCAAGATCTCCCTGGGAAATGACGTCCTACTTGGCAGAAAGAGACAACATGTACATGGGTAACTGACATCCTGGTTGACAAGTTAGGACATGAACGTTAGACAAGACAAGTCACCAGCCACAGCGAATTCCCAACCAATGGGAGCAGGATAAGTATACAACAAAGACATGTTCCTAAGGAAATCCTCCATCCCTAAATCCTGATTGGTGGAATAATTTGACACATATGTTTGTATATCTCAGGTTTTAAAAACCCTGTTTAAAAGCCCTGTTTAAAAAGTCCTTTTAAAAGGACCTTAACTCAGGGCCATTGTTCAGTTCCAGAATCTGGACTGTGGCCTGATCGATCATGCTCAATGAACTATTCCTGTCTGACTGAGATTAGTCTTCATGTGGTTTGTGAGGCCATTCCTGGACCACAACAAAGCAAACAAACAAACAATTGATGTTGTAAGAGTCCTGCAGGTGACGCTGGTTTTGAAGGCATGAAAGGGTCTTGAAGAGCAGCTGAGACTTGGCACTGAGTGTCAGGACTGAAGTTCTAAAGAGATGTCAGAGGAGGCCATTGGTGAAGATGCATCCTCAATTGCTCGAACCTGAGGACTGAAGGGTTCATGGAGAGAGGCTGAGGCTCGTGACTATGTGACAGGGTAAAAGTCTCTGAGGAGAGCCTAGAGGAGGTTATTGGAGAAGATGCAGCCTAGTTGCAGAGTCTCTGGTGTTCTTACAGATGCCAGGGCCATGGATGGCTGCTGAGGACAGCCATGCAGTGGAAGCTGATCTGAGCTTCCTAGTCAAGCTGAGTGTGCTCCAGACAGCATGAGCAGAGGCCTTCACTGCTGGACCTGCAGAGCCTCGAGGACTGTAGGTCCTAAACATCAAGCACCGAACTTTTCAAACTGTTTAATTTTTGGTTTGGACTTGATCTGACTGTAACTCCACTGGTTCCCTCTTGGAGGAAGAAAGTATCTACTTATTTTTTATTTTACTAGAATTCACAGTTAAAAGACTTTGGAATTTTAGAGAAACTTTGGATATTTTAGAAAGACTTTTATATATATTTTAAAGAGCCTGAACTTTGAAGTGTTTGAATTTTTAAAGGCCATGCAACTTTTAAATGCTGACATGCTTTTTACTGTGATATTATTAACATTATACGATATTGGGATGAACAAAAAAGAAAAAGTATGCTTTAACAGTAATATGTTTGTGTCTCAGGCTTGTCAGGTGCTACATTCCTGAGGTGGGGTTCAAGTTTTCTTGGTTCCAACCTGTGACCTACTTGTCCCTTTGTGCTTTGGGGTCATTCATGAAACACTGGGAGTGTCTTCATTCTTGTGGGGTATGCTATGGGATACAAAGTCACAGAATCTCAAAGTGCTTGGAGGCTCAGGGAACACCCTGGCTTTGACTACTAGTCTAGAAGGCAGCGACATCCATCTTGAAGGTTTCTCTGAAGCAGAGTTAATTGTGCTGGCAAGTTTTTACCTCAATTTGACACAAGACAGAGTCTTTTTGGGAGAGGGAACCTCAACTGAGAAAACGTTCCCACCAGACTGGCCTCTAGGCAAGCCTGTAGAACATTTTTCTTGATCAGTGATTGATATGGGAGGGGCCAGCTCACCGTGGACCGTGCCACCCCTGGGCTGGTGATCTTGGGTTGTGCAAAAAGGCAGGCCAAACAGGGAAGAGCAAGCCAGGAAGCAGCACTTCTCCACAGCCTCTGCATCAGCTCCTGCTCCAAGTTCCTGTCCTGCTTGAGTTCCTGCCCTAACTTTCCTCAGTGATGAACTGTTACCTCAAATTGTAAGCAAAACAAGTCCTTTCCTTCCCCAAGTTATTTTTGGTTATGATATTTTATCACAGCAATAGAAGCCTTAACAAGGACACACCATTAGTCCATCTGTCTTGTCTGTCTATCTGTATCTATTATCTATCTGTCTATCTATCTATCTGTCTGTCTGTCTGTCTGTCTATCTGTTTATCTTGTCTATATATCTATTATATATCTATCATGTCTCTATTATTATATATATATCTAACACTATCTATCATCTGTCTATATCTATTCATCTACCTATCAATCTATTTATCTGCTATCTTCTATCTGAGACTGACTCTTTCACTGAACCTGAAGCTTTGCAGTTCAGCTGGACTGGCTAGCCAGTAAGACCTCGAGATTCACCGGCTTCTGCTCCCAACCCTGTCCACAATGCTGGGACTAGAGATATGTGCCACCATACCCAGCTCTTATGTCACTGCTGTGCCTCTGAACTCAGGTCCTCATGCTTGCACGTCAAGCTCTTCACCCTCTGAACTCTCTCTCCAACTCCATTTTCCCCCATTTTTTGAGGCAAGGTCTCCCATAGCCCAAGCTGACTTTACTCAGAGGATAACCTTAAACATCTGACCCTCCTGCCTCCTGAGTGCTAGGATTTCACTAGCACATCTGGTTTCATGTGGTGCCGTGGCTTGAACACAGGACTTCCTGCATGCAAGGTAAACAATTCTACCTATATTCAACTGACCTTTATCCAGAACCTTATGTTTTAGGAACCCAACAGATCTAAAGGAGAGTGGCTTCCTCTGGCCCACCTATATTTTCAGCTCTGCAGCACCCAGCCCCTGAAGCCTCTGGACTCTCAGTCACTTGTTACTCGACACTATCTGGCCTGGCCCAAGTGAGAAGGGCAGAGGGCAAGGTCCACAGTATCGGGGAGGGTGTCCCCAGTCCTGCCTTCTTTGTCAGTTCCAAAGTCTGCCCCGAGAACTAGGGACACTGCTCTTCCTCCCTTCCCAGGAGCAAGATGTAAGTAAGCCTGGGATTAATGAGGTAGAATAAACTAGTAGGAACTGAATAGGAACTGGAGAGCAGCCTGCTCCTCCCACCACAGCCCCAGGTTCAAGTGGGTGGAGACAGGGTGTGGAGGGCAGCAGGTGTGCAGATCAGAAGCAGAACTTCCTCCAGCTATCCTTGAAAGTTGGCTTCCAGCTCAGGTGAGGGACCCAGGGGCTGACCTGGTCTGTGGGTTAGCTTTGGTAGGGGATTGCCTGTCCTGGGTGAGGGGAGCCTACCTTGTCCATTTTGTGTGACTACTCAGTCTCAGGTGCTATGTTTCTGAGGTGGGGTCTGTATTTTCTTGGTTCCTACCTGTGACCCACTTGTTCCTGTGTTTTGGAGTGCTGGCTGGAGTTACAATCCAGGCTCTGGGCAAGTCATTTGTCCTCTTTCCTCAGTTTCCCTACCTTCAGATGAGCTCATGCCCCACTTAGCTTGTTCCCAGGAATCCTAACCTCTGTTTCGAATTCTTGAAACACTGGGAGTCTCTCTATTCTTGGGGGACATGCCATGAGATTCCAAGTCACAGAATTCTGGAGCACTTGGAGGCTCCAGGAACACCCTGGCTTTGCCTAGTTCAGTAGGCAACAACATCCATTGTAAGGCTTGCTCTGAAGCAGAGCTGACCAGGAGCTGACTAGTAGTGTCTTCTCTATACATTGGTTGGCTGGAGTGGGTCAGGACTCAGAACCCCTGCTGGGCTCCAGAGGAGACAAGGGTGTAGATGTCTTGGATATCATGGAGAATAACATTCCGTGGTCAGCTGCCCAGGTTCATCTGGGGTCAGCTAAAATCTGTCAGATCTCCATTAGAGAAATCCAAGTTTAGAATTTCAAGAAGAAACAAATGTCTTTGTTAAGAAGAATAGAATGCTAGCTGGCCTCTTGAGGGGCCCACACCTTGCCTCTGGATTCCAGGTAGCATGGTTCTGAGGCTCCCAGAAAGAAGTCTTCCACTAGGAGACCTTGGTTCGAATTCCTGAGTTCAGATCAGAGCTGAGACTCTTCCTGGGGAGTCAAGAAAGCAAGGGCTCAGAGAGAGAGGGAGGGCGAGGCCTACATAGGGGTCTACATGGGGCTCTATTAGTCCTTGATAGTGGCACCAGAAATGGCTGTCCTGCATCCACTGGGCTGGATCCTCAGTCAGTACCCCCTGTACTGGCCCCCAGGCTCTGTGACAATACTGGGCTTGCCCAATTGGACTCTGAAAACTATTCTTGGCTGTTTTTTTTGTTTGTTTTTTGTTTGTTATTTTGTTTTTTTTTTTTTTTACTGTGGCTGTCCTGGCTACTGACCTAACCAAGGAGGATATCTGAGTCCCAGATTTGACAACATCTGAGGAAGGTTGGGACGTGTTAGGCCCTTCCTCTAGAAGGATGGCATCAGGATAGTATCTGAGCAAGGAGTCTGAGTGTCCACTGCTGCCTACCTGACCCTTGCAGCCCAGCCCCTACCACCATGGGACTCTCCTGGAAGGAACGGGTCTTCATGGCCTTGTTGGGAGTTGCAGCAGCCTCTGGCCTCACCATGCTCATCCTCATCCTGGTGAAAGCAACCAATGTTCTCCTGCCTGCAGACACCAAGGTTTGGCTTGGGGACCTAACAAAAATGTTGAGCTGGGTGACCAGGATGTTGGCGTCAACACCTTTCTGGTCCCATGTTGTCCTTAGTTTGGGATCGTGTTTGACGCCGGCTCGTCCCACACATCCCTGTTTGTGTACCAGTGGCCAGCAAACAAGGAGAAGGACACAGGAGTGATCAGCCAGGCCCTGACTTGCCAGATAGAAGGTCAGTGGACAGTCCTGTGGCAGGCGTTGCTGCCTGGCTTGGACTCCCTGGTGATAGCAGGGACCCATTGAGAGAGACTGCTTGGTGACAGATGGGGCCACGTTTCTGGTCCTCAGGAAAGCACATAAGCCTGAAAGGAAAGGGGGCTTAGTGTGCTGACATGCTTCTAGTCCTCAGGAAAGCACATGAACCTGAAAGGAAAAGGGGCTTAGTGTGCTGACGTGAGACACAGGGTCACACGCTTGGGCTGGCTCTGATAAGAATACACACACAGAGCTCAGATCTCGTACCTCCCCAGGGCCTGGGGCTAACGTTCCCTCATCAGGTCCCACATCTGCCCTCTAAGACCCTCTCTGGCAGCCTAGAGCTTCCCACTAGGTCTACACTGCACTGATGACGGGCTCCCAGGTGTTAAGCTCTGAGTTCATTTCCTGAGGTTCCTCTCAATTCTAGAGACCAAAAGTCCAAGAGCCTCTCCAGAAGCCCCGAAGTGGAAGAAACTCAGGGTTTCCTACCTTTCCTCCTAAGAATTGTCCTTACTGGATTTGGGGTCCACTATGCACCCAAACTCGCTTTATCTATAGGTCTCCTTTGTTATTTCAGACAGGATCTTTCTGTGTTTCCTAAACTGACCCCTCAATCCCCTGCCTCAACCTCCTGAGCACTGCGATTATAGACAAACACCATCATGTTGAATTAAAAAACCCTTAATTTAACTTGGGAACATTCTTCTTCCAACAAAGGTCACATTCACAGGTTCCAAACATCTCTGGTGGCTGTCATTCAATCTCAACCTTGAGCTTTGGAGCCTTTACCTGGGGCACTGTGTTTCAGGGCCTGGAATCTCTTCCTATACCTCTGACCCGACACAGGCTGGGGAAAGCCTGAAGAGCTGCCTGGAGGAGGCACTGGCATTGATTCCACAGACTCAGCATCCAGTGACGCCCACATTCTTTGGGGCCACAGCAGGAATGAGGCTGCTCAGGTGACATAGTAACAGGCTGCATCTGTTAGGGTCACTCGCCAAAGCCAGGCTGAGACACCCTGGGTTGAACTAACTGCAGTAGAGATTGGGGTGAGGCACTGGAGGTTGGGATGAGGCTTTCCTCCAGCCGTGGTCCTTTCTTCCCAGCCAGAAGAACAGCTCTCAGGCAAGAGCCATCCTAGCTGCAGTCTCCCAGACACTAAGCAAGTCTCCTGTGGATTTTTGGGGTACCAAGATCCTGGCTGGGCAAGATGAAGGTGCCTTTGGTTGGATCACTATCAACTATGTCCTAGGAATGCTCCTGAAGGTACAGAGGTAGCCTAAGGGTGAGGGGTCGGTCTGACAGGCCAGTGCCTGGGGGTGGCTGGCCAGCAGCTGGGGCCAGTGTGGCTGCCTGGAGAACTAAGCACTTCATCTACGGTCAGTATTCCTCTGGACAGTGGACCCTGCCTGAAGAGGGGATGCTAGTTGGTGCTCTGGACCTTGGTGGGGCCTCCACGCAGCTCAGCTTCGTGCCTCAGGGCCCCATCCTAGACCAGAGCACCCAGGTTACCTTCCGCCTGTATGGTGCCAACTACAGTGTCTACACTCACAGCTACCTCTGCTTTGGGCGGGACCAGATCCTGAGTCGGCTCCTGGCTAAGCTGGCACAGGTCAGGCTGGTATTTGAAAGGGTGGAGAGGTAGGATGATGTGGGGGTAGAGCGGAGGGGTGGATCAGAACTAATGTCCTTTCGTCTCTGCAGAGCAGCCAGGTGGCCCGGGTCAGACACCCATGCTACCACAGTGGCTACCAGGCCACACTGCCACTGGCTTCCTTGTATGACTCACCCTGCGTCCACACTACAGATTCCCTGAACCACACCCAGAACCTCACAGTTGAAGGGATAGGCAACCCTGGGAACTGTGTGGCAGCCCTCCGGGGTCTCTTCAACTTCTCCAGCTGTAAGGGCGTAAAGGACTGCGCTTTCGATGGCATCTACCAGCCTCCTGTGCATGGCCAGTTCTATGTAAGCATGGCTTCCCAAGTCCCGGCTTCTTTCTGGAACCCCAGGGGCCATAAGGACAGGTTGAAGAGGAGGTGCCCTGACTGGCTCTTAGGGACTCTAGCACCTGTGGGGACACCTGACTGAAGCGTTGTGCTGCAGGCCTCTTTCAGGCTTGCATGGCCTTCTCTACTCCTCACAGGCATTTTCCAACTTTTACTACACCTTCCATTTCCTGAACCTCACCTCCAGGCAGCCACTGAACATTGTCAATGACACTATCTGGAAGTTCTGTCAGAAGCCCTGGAAACTGGTGGGTGACCCTGGATACCTACCCTAGCCCCCATCTCCATACCATACCATACCATACCATAGACAAGCAGGGTCTCTGGGGTCTTGTGAGATTTTCCTGGACAGATATTTGTGATAATGTCCCCTTTAGGCAGTAGAACTGGGGAGGAAAATATCCAGGGCGCCAATGGGATCAGCCTCCGGTTGTTATGAGGTTGGACACCCCAGCCCCTCCTAGCTGGAGGGATTTGCAGAAGGGCTTTCTGAGATACTTAACAGTCTCCTGCTGTCTGGAGACTATGAGGATGGATGGAGGTACCACCATAACTGGGGGGAGGTGCCACAAAGTCACGCAACCTCACTTACTCATCGGCTTCTGGAACCCAAGGTGGAATCCAGCTACCCTGGGCAGGAGCGCTGGCTACGGGACTACTGCGCCTCAGGCCTGTACATCCTTGTATTGCTTCTGGAGGGCTACAAATTCAGTGAGGAGACCTGGCCCAACATCCAGTTCCAGAAGCAGGTGATGCCCCTAAGAACCTTGGCATGTCTGGATCAGGGTGAGAATGGGAGAGGGCCCAGGACAGCCACCCAGTATCCCTAAAGAGCCATGTGTCTCACAGGCAGGTGGCATGGACATTGGCTGGACACTGGGCTTCATGCTGAACCTGACAGGCATGATTCCAGGTGAGGCACTGAGCCAGTGGCGGGCTCAGAGTTACAGCATCTGGACGGCTGGAGTAGTATTTGCAGTGCTGACCCTTGTGGCTATTCTTGGGGCAGCTGCCGTCCAGCTCTTCTGGACCCAGGACTAGGTAGAAGCCAAGCTGAAGTAGATGGCAGATGGCGATGTCTAAAGCAGGAGCAGTGTTGGGAGTCAACAGTGACAACACAGCTGTTTATGTTGTCAACCTTGTGAACCACCATCAGCTGTCCTTAGGAAAGAAAGCCTTTGGCTCACAGGACTTTCTGAGCACATCCTAGATGCCTGCCCTCACGAATCCCTGACCCTTAAGGGCTCGACTCTATCCAGGCAGGAGGGCCAATTGCTGACAGTACTGACTCCTCTACACCCTCAGGGTGGCTCTGGCTATGGGAACTGTTAGTAGTCCATGGGATAGAAACAGGAGAGGCAGCTGTGGGAATAGGGCCCCCTCAGAAGGCTGTGGCCAGCCCATCAGAGGCTCCCTGCTTCCTCACTATATCAGACTAGACCAGATACTCAGAGTCCAGGTCTGAGGCCAGCTTCTTCACACAAGAGCCTTTGATTGGATTCTCTTTATCATCAATTCCAGAATATAGATCAAAGTGGGATGAGGGGGATAGTTGTTTTGTTTGTTTGTTTAATTAAAGCTGGTTTTTGTCATGGTATTTATTGCTAGTGCTGGTCTCCCACCTAAGGTCCCAGTACAGGGAGGGTTTCCACAGAGGCGCCAGCTGGGACCACAAAGCACTTGGGAAAAATGCCAACACAGCCGTCTCGGTGTCCCTCCAGCCAGGCTTCGTCCACTGTGGAGACAGGTTGGATGCTGTGTCTGCTTACAGCAAAGACTGAGCCCTAGAGAGCAGAGCCCCCACCAGACCTGGACAAGCCAGCAGTGCTGTGCAGGAAAGGGCAGCCCTGTACCTTCACACAGAACGTCCACCATGTCCCCTTGGTGGAAGTCCAGATCCTCCGGCCTTTGGGCACGGTAGCTGTACTGAGCTATTACTTGATAGAGCACTGGTCGTCCCCAGGCCCCCTGTAACAGAAAGGTGGGCTGCAGGGGCAAAGCATAAGAGAAGCTTCCCTTCAAACCGTCTGGGCTGCCCACAGCAGGCATCACAGTCTCTCCCCTTGGCTCACCCGGCACTGGAGCTGCACCCCTCTTGGGCCCACGGGCACATTCTTCCATACACTCTGCAGTGACTCCTCCGTGGAAATGGGGTTCCAGGATCTCTCCTCTCCTGGGGCTTTGTAACTGCACAGGGAGTCCTGAGGGTGAGCTACAGTGTATAGAAGAGTACCTAGTGCCTGGTCTTTCCCTAAAGGAAATTCATTTCTGTGGCTCTCCACTGTGCCAGCCCTTACTTCCAGTGGCTGCCCAGATTCTTAGGCATAGAGCTAAGGAGGCCTTAGCTTTTGTCCCACCTGGGTCTGAAAAGTGACCACTTCAGAGCAAAATAACAACAAAACGCCTTCTCTCCAGTTCAGAAGAACCCTCACTTCCTCGTAGCTCAGACCCATCCTTTTCTTCTGTAGCTTAGAGTCCCCATGCCCACAGCTTTCTGACTTACCTAAGCTGCCCTGTCTGGGTCTGGTGAAGGATGGCTTGAGCTAGTAGTGTCCGAAAACTGGACAGGCCAGTTCCTCTTGGGACCTTCAGGGGCACAGTAAAGTGGCACTGCACAGTGACAGTCATCAAGGATTCAGGGTCCTTCGTAGATGCTCCCTGAGGAAAGAAACAGGGCTGCTTAGCCTTTGAAGGTAGGTTTGTTCTTGGATGCAAGGAATCAGAGTAGAGGCTGGGCTGAAAGGTCAAAGAGAATCTGAGGTACGGGCTTCCTTGTTTCACTGATGAGGAGGGACTGAAGAGCAGGACAGCTCTTACCTTAGCTCCTGAGGAATCTTCAGAGTGGCCTGGATCAGGCCCTCCAGGTGCCAGCAAACTGTCACATAGGCCAGGGCTTGTGTGACCACCTTTTCACAAAGGAGAGACACTTTGAAGTAGAGGAAGGACTGGCAAGTAGTTGGCCCCTGTCCCAAACTTTCCTTAAGGGACAAGTGCCCACACTCCAGCTCTCCTGAAGAGGCTCCTCCTACCTGTAGTGCTCAGGATCCTCTCACACACAGATGAGGATGACTGGTGGCCAGCTTGCTCCACCTGGGACCTCTGCCAAGGTAGACAGTGGTTAGAGGGACCTCACAAGTGTGGGTCATCACGCATGCCACCTGCAGCCATCGTGACACATTTAGTTTAGTTAGTTTTGTTACATCTTGCGTTATACAAAACTGTTTGTGTATAAATTGTTTTAAAGTTATTTATGCACAATTTGAACACATACAAGGACTTTTACTGTTTAGATTGCCAAGTTTCCATCAGGTGTGATAGAGGCTACACGCTTCCACTTAAAAGCATGTTTAGCTGGATAGTAGAGCCTATTCTGTTTGTGAAGAAGTTCCGAAAGCATGTTGTGGATAAGGGTGAAGTACAGTCCAGGTGAGGCGCTTTGGCAAGCTTCCACAGAGTCAACATTTTCCTCAGAAGTTTGCAACCCACACTTCAGCCTTTCCACTTGGGAGGGGTTGTTCCAAGCATGACCTCTTGTACTCTGTCTACGTAGATCTAATCTGTGCCATGAATCAAGTAGAATAAATGTGTCCATAGCCTTTCTGTCCTTTCCCCTCCTCTGAAGCCTTCAGCTCACACTTGAGTTGCTAACATGGCTACTTTCTATTTGAGTTCTGCATCCACATGTGCCCTTGTTAAAGGATGTGTTTCCATTGTATGCTGACCTTGCTGCTGTTTTTCGGTTCCCTGTTAGGTTTTCACTTTCGTTGGATTTTTATAAACAATGTGTGTGTGTGTGTGTGTGTGTGTGTGTGTGTGTGTGTGTGTGTGTGGTCTGAGGATGGGACCTAGAGTACAGGGGTATTGAAGTGGTAGGGTTCCAGACTCAAGGGAGAAACTCCCTGGGCTCTGTCCTAGCATAGTCAGTGGTTAAAGATATAGTATGGGGGTTTGGCCAGCAGTTAGCACGAAGTCATTAGCCAAACTTCTCTGGGAAGTAAATTCATAGTAGACCCAGACCGTAGGCAGGCCTTGGGACAGGATAGAGTCCTTACAGGCCTAGAGTCCACAGACTGCCCAGCATCAGTGGAGAGTCAGCCTGCTTCCTAGGTCTTCTATCAATCCCCAAATCTCAATGCTGGCTTCCCTATTGACCCTGAGAGGCCCAGGGCAGAGTCTTAGGAGGTGCCCAGCCTCGGGTACCCTGAGTTGGAGAGGAGATGGCTACCTCCACCTTCTGCGGGACACTCATGGATGTGGCTTGTGAACTGATCTTAAAGAGGCACTATGGAAATGCACTGTGTAACCCTTATGAAGCTTACAGCCCAGGACAAGAGGTGGCAGATGCAGGTTTAAGTCCCTGGGGATTTTGAGCACAGCTGTGATGGTATAATTGCTCATAAGGACATTATACTTTTGGATTGGAATGAACTAAAGACTGGATCAAGTGGAGCTGACTGTCCTGTGTCAAGCCCATGTCAAGCCTTCTCCAAGTGCTCACACTGGCTCATGGGGCTACTACAGGAAAGCAAGGGCCCCTGCCTAACTCCTCTTCACAAGGACTTTGAAGGCTTGCAATGGCCAGGAAAGAAGGCAATTGCTTGGTCCTTCTGACCTATCTTTCCCCAGGCTATCAAGTGATCTGACCATCACATGTCCAACAGAGGCTCCAATCTTCTGTTAACAGCCACCATCTGGTCCCTGTGGTAGATTTGAATGTGTGCCACTGTATTGGCCCCACTAGCCCCATCCCCTGGGATGGCTGACTCTGACCATATCCATGGCCCGGTTGTCAAAGAGGCTGCTGGTGATCTCTCGCTTAGGCTTATTCTTTGGCCCATGACAGGTGAATAATGAGAGTGACCAGCCATGGCCAGAGATGTGGCCACAGAAGGAGAGGTATCCTTATTCTCAAAGCTTTTCCACCATGGGGCTCAAGCCCTTGGCTCATCCCACCTAAATCTTGTTTTCTGCAAAACAAAGTTAAGTCTGGATCTGCTTACTGCCTATACACCTACCTGTTGGGTCTGGACGTCCGTGTTACGGTCATCAGGGATGACAGAAGCCACCACCTAGTGGGAGCAGGAATGCAGCTGGATTAGGGCCCCACTGGTTCCAGCACCTCTATGGTTTTACTCTGCAGGGTGTAGATTACATACACCCTAGCTCAAGACTGCTGGACACTACAGCTAAAACAAGACAAAACAACCCAATCGTATGACCAAGAGAAATATTTGTGCTAATAATATCAACTTAATTTTAGTATAATTTGTTAAATATTTTTTGTTTCTTGTAACAGTCTTCTGCTGTAATAAGTGGACTCTGATGGATGGACAAATACAATTTCCTCTCCACCTGTACTGAGTTTGCATCAGGGCATGTTCACAAGCACTGTGCACCTCAGGTGGCTGTCATGGTTATATAGTGTTGGTAGGTCCAGCACAAGTGTGTGTTAGCACAAGTGTGTGTGGCCAGCCCAGGACTCATCACTGCAACGCCAAGATGGCCCTTCTTTGTGACACTGCTAGTGACTGTTTCCTTGAGTTTCTCTTACATTTGGAGGTTGGATACTCCACCATAGCCTGTGGTTTAGGGGGCCTGATATGGTCCAGGCTAGCCACCCACTTCTGGGACCTTGCTGTCTACAGAAGGGGTATAGAAACAGACACATGTGAAGATGCAGACACTGGCAACATCTGGGAGAAGAGGATAGGGTGAGGGAGGGCACCACCAGGGGTTACCATCAAAAGGTCTGAGCCCTCCTTTGAAGCTGCCTTCTGGTAAGTTCTGTCTCCAGTCTATAGCCTCATGTGAATGCTCACTCCAACCCTAGGGGCCTTGTGCCCATGTTCTACCTTCTGACTTTCAAGTAGCCTAGACTATACCCAACTGTCCTCATAAACACTCTAGATGTCCAGTGCAGGGGCCAGTATGCCATGAGCTTGACATAGGCTACATTTTGGCAGCTGGGTCCCTGAGCTGGAAAACACCCTCGTGTTTTACCTTAGCCTTGCCGAGGAAATCCATAGGCTCCAGATGTTTTAGGTATCGCCGGGGAGGCTGGAAGACCTCACCCTTGGGCACTTGCCGCAGCTGCAGGGGTATCTGTTTCTGGCATGGAACATGTAAACCAGATTAGCCACAGCTGCAGGAGCCCTGAGCCTTGATGCAGATAGGCTACCTCTCCCTATGTCTTATAGTTAGCCTTGAAGGAGTAAGCTATAGACCCTGACTCCAAACCAATCTACTCTCAAATGCCCTGCTCACCTGCACTTTGTCCATGGCAATGTCCAGGATACCTTGGGCCACCCCTGGCCATTTGGAGATCGCCTCCACTAGAGTATTGGAAGCCTTGGTCCAGAGTCCTGCTTGGCACTGTGCTGATGCCATGTTGTATAGGACCTAGGAACAAGGACAGACATGACTGCAGGGGCCAGGACTCCCAGGTGGCCCTCATATGAGCTCCCCAGTTACAGTAGCTGAAGGTTCTTTTGTATGTTCAGTTGGTGCTACAGGTAGAGACCAGGGCATCTGCTGGCTGACTGGCTCAGTTTTCAGACGCCAAGTTCTAATGCCCTGTATGTTTAGTCCTGGAGGGGCCATGTTTTGCTTTGGACTTTTCTGCTTGAAGCAGCAGAAGTAGCTCTCCCTTTTAAAGTGTCTCCCTCGTGGGAGGGGAGGAGCAGTTGGAAAGATGGCTCAGTGGTTAAAAGTATTTGTTGCTCTTCTGAAGACTTGGGTTAGATTCCCAACTCTCACACAGTGATTCACAAAGTCTCCCTTTAGCTGACACTCTCCCAATTCTACACTCTGCCGCCACCATTAACTGCCCCCTGTACCCCTGAGTCTAGAGTATGTCTAAGGGTTCCCATTGACAATGCAGGGACACTCAGTACCCCACGGACAGAACTCATAAGATGCTGGGATCCCATTCTTCCTTTGTCCCACAGAGGTAAGCACACAACAAACAGCTCTGCTACAAGGAGAGAAGCCTAACTACTCTTCCTTCGGCTATGTTCCAACTGTTTCCTCTGGCTCAGCTGTAGGTACTGCTGAGCCAAACCCCTGTCACGATCTTCAAGTACGTCCTGTTTCTATCCAAAATGAACCCATGCTGACTGGCTCCAAAGATAAGTAGTCTGCTCCCTCTGCTGCCTCTGGCCTCCTTGGGCAATCAAGGAGCTAATGGATTTCAGAGCTCCAAAAGTCTTGGGCAGAACGCCTCATTCCACATAGCTGACCATGCAGCAACACAAGCGTACAGGAGACAAGCCTTGGCAGACTCCAGACTTCACCCTAGGACTCCGGTCAGGACCTCAGACTACACTGTAGGACCCCTATTGCAACCCAGGGCCATGGCAGAACCTTCGAACGTCCATGAACCCCAGGGCTGCAGAGAGCATTTCTAAGCCTCCATGACACTGCTTGGCATCTGACCTCTGCAGAAACCAATGCTCACTCACCTCCCAGGCTTGCAATTTGAAGTCCAGACCCAGTTGTGTGTAGTCAATGACAGCATTGCCCCTCAGCTGTGCCAGGGCCAGCTGGAAGTCAGACTCAGCCTCCTGGAACCTGTGGGCATCAGGGGTCTCTCAATAGCTACAAGGGCGTTGCTGAACCAATGAAGGATTTTTTGGAGGGGGTATTCCCCCCATCCTTTTCGCCATGCCAACTCTGGGAGACCTGAGGCAATAGTAGTCACCTTTGTAGCTACTCAAGTCCAGGCAAGTGTGCTTAATGGAAGTTTACTGTCTAATTCTGCTTAGCCACCTGAACACCCACTCTCTGCACCTGACAGGGGACCATGCCTGCACCCCCAAACCCTTTCCAACTATTCTGGGCATTCCTTTCCTGACTCTCAGGCCCTAACCTTATGAGGCCTTCACTAATCTCCGAACTTCCAATTGTGGATGAAATCTCTGTCCCTCACTAGATACTCCATTCCCCCAGTCACCCCTTCTGGGCATTGGAGCCTGCAGCCCTGATTATCTTTCCTCCCTTCCTCCTCTTAGAAAGCTGGGTGGCCATGCACATCTTGGGATAAACCCTGTTTTTCACATCTGCAAATTGACTATAAACACAGTGATCTTACTACTGTAGACATAGGACAGAACCAGGGGTGTTGAGAAAGTACTGTAAATCTTGATAGGGACAAGAGCCATGTGTGGGGGCTACAGGCTAACCAGAGCATCCTCACCCAGGCTAGAGGCTAACCAGAGCATCCTCACCCAGGCTAGAGGGGATCCAGAGCATCCTCACCCAGGCTAGAGGGGATCCAGAGCATCCTCACCCGGGCTAGAGGGGATCCAGAGGGGAGACCGGAGGAAGGATGTGCAAGCATGGGTTTGCAGAGACAAAGAACCATTTAATAAGGAGCTGTGTTCTCACCTCTGCAGCTGGAAACTGGCCACTCCCCGCTGGAGGAAGCCAACAGCCATGCAGGTGTCCTTGGTCACTGCTTGGTCAAATGCCTAGGGACAAAAATGTGTATGGAACACTAAACCCAAAGCCACAAACATATGGGAATGTATCAACGGATGAGGGCTGCTGAACAGTTAGAGCCTGGAGAATGTGTTACTACATAGATTTCTCAGGTGTCCCAAGCACCTCACAGCAGGCTCAGGGCACACCCCCATGGCAGAGAAACCCAATTTGTCCACGAGGAGCACAGAGCTAGAAGAAAACATGTCAAAGTGTCAGTAACAGTCATCTCTGGGAGACAGGACTGTGTAAATCTGGGGCTTTTTAAAATCTCTTTGCAAAGGCTAGAGAGGACTGCTTTTCCAGAGGTCCTGAGTTCAATTCCCAGCAAGCTTATGGTATCTCACAGCCACCTATAATGGAAGAACTCACATACATAAAATCCATTAATAGCTGTTTTAAAATCTCTTTTGGTAGTTCACACAAAATGGCACACTAGGTGTGGAAGAGAGTTTTCTGTGTACAGGAACCTGCCGCCATTTCCTAATACCACGTCTGGTCAGGTGGAAGGCTGACTTAGAAGCTTTCTTATGCCCAGTCAGCCTGGAAATGGCATAGCTGCTCGTAGATCCATCCGACACTACAACCTTCGCACTGACAGGTGCAAGTGCCACCTCTGCAGACCCGCGCACTTAGACTCCTTATTGCAGTCACACCACCCACTTCTTATGTTTCCGGGTCTAGCCAGTATGCCTATGCTTGTAGCATATAAGTTTTATTGACTCAAGGCAGTGCCCATTCTTCTTCTTATGGTAGAGCATTTCAAACTCCTCTCTAGTTACAGCGTGAGGAGGTAAGCATGTAACTCACTCACCGTTGAAACACCTGGTAACAGGTCACTACATTCTCTTTCCTAAACATTAACCTTTTTGTTTCTTGGTTTTCTTTGCTTTTGGTTTTTAAGACTGAATTTCTCTGTGTAGCCCTAGAACTGGAACTCTCCCAGAACTCACCCTGTAGACCAGGCTGGCCTCAAACTCAGAGATCTGCCTGCCTCTGTCTCCAGAGTGCTGGGATTAAAGGCAGGTGTCACCATGTGTGGCTCAAACAAAACCCTTTTAATGAAGAAACAATAGATTCAGATAAATATGTAAGAAGTAATAGAAGAGAACTGGCAAGATGGCTCAGTGGGTAAGGACACTTGCCACCATGCATAATGACCTGAGTTTGATCACTGGGTCCCACATGGGGGAAAGAGAAAACTGACTCCCACAGGTTTTCTCCTGATTTATACACACATGCAAATAAATAAATAAATAAATAAATGTATATCTTCAAGAAAGAAATAATAAAGAAACTATCTCCACATAGCCCAGTCTTTCTACTCTTACCATTGGTCCTTGGGTGTCTTTGCTTCTCATCTGTGTGGTGTCCTAGATAGGTCTGAGTTGTAGACAGAGTGCTGAGGGTTTCTATCACACACCCAGGAATGGCTATAACTTTGATGAACAGAGCCCCCTCTACGGTGTGCTCCCCTGAGTAGGTCTGCTTTGAGAGCAGGTGGGACACATGTGAGTGCTCAGAACCGGAAAGACAGACTGTGTGCCACCATCCCATCACAAGCATCTGCTGAAATCTGTCCTACAGCACACCTTCAGAGGAAGAGCAGAGCCCCTACCTGCTCTGACCCAGCCACCAGCCTGCCTTCGGGTATGTCCTTCCCTCAGTCCTGAGCACTAGAGCCTGGGCATCCCAGACCTATCACAGAACAGCTGCTGCGTTTGGCTTGTATGGCTATGGAGACTGAAGGTGCCCTGTGTCCCATTCTGATCTCAACTAAGAGGGGTCCTCCTAACCACAAAGCTCCAACCCGCCTCACACAGTCACTGAGAGAACATTAGTAGAACAATCTCTAGGTAAACGACAGAGTAAAGGGCAGGACTTCCTCTTCTTCTAGGTTGACTGTGAGGTGCAGAAGAGCGTCTTTTTCCAGGGTGCCCACTGGAAGATAAGGTTTCACGTTCACATCTTCATCTGCATTACCCTACAGGCCTCCACCAGGGGTGTGGGAGGGGGATCTGTTATTCAGTCCTGGGGCGCTTACCTGCACCGCAGCCTCGGGATCCCCTGCCATCAGGTGCACGCAGCCAATGTTGAAGTACATCTTAGCCAGCGGCTCCCGGACATCTGAGAAGAAGCACAGCGCAGAGTCCCAGTCTTCGCGTGCCACGGCCAGTACTCCCCGGTGCCAGTCACGAATCTGATCCCCTAGAGAGCTCATGGAGCCGGGGACACCAGCTTTGCTAGGGAAGGTAGTTAGCGATTCTAGCTGGAACGCGCGGGACAGGAGAAGGGTGCTCCAGAGAAACTGAGGGACCGTGGGCCAGGGGCAAGGCCAGGGACAAGGGGACCAGGACAGCAACGAGAAGCAGCTGGTAGCAAGACAACTGGAGTTGTGACAGTTTGTCCTTGATACTGAGTAGATGTCCCAAGGCCTAGGCCCCTCTCTCAGGCCCCGCCTTGAACCACTTAACCAAGTCCTTAGGACTGAGGAGCCGGTCTAGGATCACATAGCCACGCCTCTTCATTCGCCAGGCCTATCTGCCCACTCCCTGGCCCAGCTCAGCACCAATGAAACCACGGTTATCTCCATATGGACACGCCCTCTCAACCTCCTAGTTCTTGCCTCCTTCCCGGTTTGACCACACCTCTTACTCAAGCCAGGCCCACCCCATCTTTTTCCTTGCAAACTTAGAACGTCAGTGGGCGGTGGCTGGACCCCTCGACGTCTTTTATGCCAAATCAGCAGAGTGTTTGGGGGAAACCCGGGCGGAAATGCTCCAGCAGCCGGGCCAAGATTCCGGGACCAGTGTGAACGGTGCACCGCAGAGCTGCCTGCTCAGAGGTCAGCCTCGGCAGGCTAGGTGGGCGGCCTGAAGGAGAAACAGCCCTGGGGCAGGTAGAGCTCGACCTCCGGCCCCTCCTATCGGAAATGACCAGGTGGCCTCGGAGACTCCGGAGCGACAAGCAGGGCAGGACTGGATGCCGCGTGACTAGCCCTCAGAAGCCGGGTTGGGGCCTCGGAGTAGGTGTTGGTGGTTGGTGCAGCCCGCGAGGGCTTTCTCCACTAATGGTCGCTGGCCTGGCTGCTCCTTTCCCTTGCGAGTATGGCCAGTGGGACTGAGTCTTCTACGCTACTCTCCAGATGGACCACAGCTATCCAGAAAAACTAGCCGTTGGACAGGGCTTGTGTCTTGTATAGACAGATGGGGCGGCCCAATATAGACTCTGCAGGACACCAAGAAGTTGATGTCCACCTTCATAATCCTGCTTGGATGAGACCCACCAAGTGGAGGGAGTCCCCTTCCCCAAAGCTGCTGATACAAACATTAATCTCTCTGTGTCTTTTTTTTTTTTTTCCTTCGAGACAGGGTTTCTCTGTGTAGCCCTGGCTGTCCTGGAACTCACTCTGTAGAGCAGGCTGGCCTCGAACTTAGAAATCTGCCTGCCTCCCAAGCACTAAGATTAAAGGCGTGTGCCACCACTGCCCGGCTCAAACATTAATCTCTACTGAAATTTTCTCCCGGACACTTGGGACACCATGGCTTGGCTAGATTGACTCATTAAATTAAGCACCACAACACCCAGTTCAACTGTATCATAGGCCCATTACCATGTGCTCAGAGTCACAGCTGATTGTCCTTCTTGTGTGACTCTGGACAGCTAGCTTTTCATCCCTTCATCCATATGTGTAACACTAGCAGTGATCAGTTCTGTCCTACCAAGGCTTTTATGAGAGCTGAATGAGATCTCACGGTGTTAGCAAACTCTTGGTGCTCAGCAGAGTCATCCTGAGCTCCCAGAGGTTCTGTGTCCCTTGGCATTTCTCTGTGGGCTGAGTTTCCCTAAACTGCTGCCTGGAGTGTGTGAATTTTGCTAACCTGGCTTCTTTAAGTCCTAGTGCCGCCATTCTGCCCCAATAACCAGATCCTGTGTTGTGTCTCCATGCAGTCTACTTTGTTTGGTTCCTCTCCCTCTTGCTACTCATTGCCCCTTCCTGGAAGCCTAGAATAAACTCCATCCCTGCCTTCCCAGACCCATCTGCCCATTTTCTTTTCTATAGGTCAGGATTCTTTCTAAAATGTTCCATAGCCCATATAGTGGTTTGAGTGAAAATGACCCCCATATTCTCATATATTTGAATGCTTGGTTCCCAGTTGGTGGAGCTGTTTGGGAAGGACCAGAAGGTGTGGCCTCAATGGAGGAGTCCAAGGACAAAAAGCCCACACCATTCCCAGTTAGCTCTCTTGCTGTCTGTCTCATGCTTGTGGATCAAGATGTATGCTCTCAGCTACAGCTGTAGTGCCACATCTGCCTACCTGCCACCATGCTCCTGTCCTGATGGACATAGACTCATCCTTAGAACTGTAAGCCCCAGATACATTTTTTTCTTTTCTAAGTTGCCTTGGTCATAGTGTCTGTACAGCTATAGAAAATTAACTAAGACAGCCCATTTTCTTATGTTGCATAGTGCAGAACATGGTTCCAAGTTCTACAAGGATTTCCACAAGGATTTCCTCCTGTTCTCTGATGAACCCCAAATGTCAGTCACAGTGACTTTCCCCTGAGCATGTATGATGTGCTCTCCATACAGTGTTTGCATGGATTATCATAATGGCCAGGTAGCTTATGTTTAAGACTGGAACACTGTTAAGTTCAAGTCATGGTGTCCAGTCCAGATATATGCTAGTTGGACAGACACATGCTTTTGGTTCTGTGTAGGTCCATAGACCTTGTGTGACTGGCATCTGAGTGGCAGGATATCCTCTGGGAATGATTTCAAATTCACTGATGAATCTTAAAGGGGAGTGGATCATAGAAGTCAGGTGCTACACAGGCTCTTGTCTCCATGTTTGCTGAAGGGTCCAAGGGAACTGCTATACCAACTTGAAAAGCCTATGTCTGAGAGTCAAGCCTCAGTTTCTCTTTAGGACAGGTCACTCAAAAAGGTGAACAGGGTGTGGGGTCATTTACACTCTCTTCCTCTGGCCTTGCAGGATCTACAGGGGAGGTGGGGCAAGCAATGGAAGGATAGTCAAGGAATCTCCTTTGTGTACACGAGTCAACACTGTCCCAGGAGCACAGGTGTCCCCCACTTTCCACGGAGGGCCAGACAAGTGTGGGTGAGGCTGTCGGGAAGTGAGACCTGTGTACTGCAAATGGAAGCCCGACATGATACCACCATCATAGTGAAAGATAATCTAGTGGTTCCTCACAGAAATAGAAATGTATCCACACAGAACTGGCAGCCAAGCTGGATATATTCTTAGCATGAGTTGATGCAGAAGGATAGTGAATCACCAGTTCACCTCAACAAAATAGCAAGACACTGTCTTAAACAAATAAAAATTTAAAAGGGAGCAAACAAAACATATATACAGGTGTTCAGAGTGACACTATTTATAAAAGAAAAAAGGGGGAGGGAGACCAACCCATATGTCTGATAACTGATAAATTCATGCTCTATCTAGGCAAATTTTTTTATTCGGTTATAAAAAGGCATGAGGTTCTGACATAGCTTGGGTACTTTGAGGAGACATGCCACTCATAAATCATAGATATTCTATGATCTTGTTTGTGGAAAATATGCAGAACAAGCAGATTCATAGAGAGGAGGGAGGAAGTGTGGGTGGTCTCTGGCAAATCACGAGCTGTCCTTTAGTTGACTTGTGCAGAAGGTGAGCTTTACTGTATGTGAGTCACGCTGGTAAACTGTGGGAAGTCTCTGAGATGTGTGCAGTAAGCAGTGGTGTTCACAGAGGAGGGCCAAGCCAGCCTGGCTGCAGAGGCCCACTATGCCAGCCAGTCTCTTCAATGCCTCCTTTGTCCTGGCTACCCTGGTGTCTCTGGCGTCTGGGGGCTGCTATGTTCTGTTCCTAGTAGGCTCTGGGTACCAGCTTTGTCCCACTGTGCATCTCTTCCTTCCCCTTGTCTCCCAGGCTGTGTGGCAAGTCCAGAGCCACATGCCACCCTCAGCTAGGAGCCGAGGGACCTGGAGACCCTCCTTGGAGCCTACCTGGGACCAGATCTAAGTCCAAACCGTCGAGTCAGAATACAGAGGGAACTGGGAACTCACTCAAAGCCAGTGTTCCAGACTCTGAGCCAGGGGTCTCCCATACCTCACCCCATGGTCATTCCCCATACCAGACCCAGAAAGAGGACAGGAGGAACTCACCTTGACCAGTGATCCCTCGAGCCTGATGCCTCTTCTGGATAGTCAGCCCAAGGTGGGCTGGGAGTGGGAAAGAGAAGCAACAGAGAGACTGGGCAGGGCACTGATCTCAGTGGACCCAGTGAGGTCAGATTCTCCTCCAGTCGGGACAAACGGGTGAACTGGGCCCTGGGTGGTTCCCACGCTCTGCAGCGTGCTATCACAGTGGCAGCTGAGGACAGGCCCTGCCTGGTGCGGAGAGTTCCTGAGTGTGCAGGTAGGAGGGTGCTCTGAGAAACAGTAACTTTTAGCCAGCTGGCCTAAGAATAGTGCTGTCCTGCTGAGGGAGAGTGACTGGGAGGAGACACTGGACTTGGCCAGCAGAGGGGCCCAGAGACCAGCATCTAGTGGCTGTCTATGACAATCGCATAGAAAGACTGTGTGCTACTCGTATGGGGTTGTTCTATTAGCAGCGAATTTTCTAGGGTAACTTTAGAGTCCTGCAGCCCATGAGAGACCAGAGGCTTTATCTCACTCCCCATATGTGTAACATGGTCACCGAGAGGACCCTGAGGGAAGTCCAGGGGATGGCCTTAGCCGTCTCTGGAAGTCCAGATTAGGTTCCCCTTTACCTAGCCCCTGGTACTACCCTGATTGCAAGAGAAGTCTGTAGGTCTCTGCTGGTTTTTTTTTTTTTTAATCTTTTATGTGTGTGCATATGAGTTTTCAATGTGCACTTTCATGGGTAAGTATAGAGAGCACATGTGGAGGTCAGAGGATACCTGTTAACCATCGCCTGTCACCTGTCTTGCTACTGCACACACCCGGCTATCTGGCCCACGAGCTTTTGGAGACTCTCCTATCTCTATCTTCTTTCCATTCATAGGAACAATCTGGCTATACAGGGACACACCAGCATGTCTTGCTGCACAGAGACACTCTGGTCTGGCTATACAGGGACACACTAGCGTGTCTGGCTGGAGAAGGACACACCAACGTCCCTAAACACATCAAATGGGGAAATTGCTTTATGCACTGAGCCCAGCTCTCTCTGCTGTGTTTGTGGAATG